TATGTTGTTTATGGACATGTCAAGTGAAGGTGCTAGAGGTTTCAGAGTATAGAGGTTCTTTTCAAGAGCTGAAACAAATGAGACATTTCTTGGGAAAGTTGAAATGTCTTGAAACTGTGGAAGTTGGTGTTGACGCAGACAACAAGAGCGAGATCTTGCGTGCTAATCTGCGGATTCTCCCAAGAATCTCATCAAATTGCAAGCTCGAGTTCATCTGATTTTTCTTTCGTTATCTTTCTCGGTTTGATATCAATGTGAAAGTAACTTAAGAATATGATTATATATATCACTAAAGTATCGTTAAGTTAAGCTGATTCCAATATACAGTCAGGTTTCAGATTTTTTATCTTTCTTTTGAGAATATAAAACATTAAACCTATGTATGAACAGCATATACGGCTTTTAATACTGGGATTCTCGGCTCACAATGATTCTATGGCTTGGCTGCTTACCAAGAATGGTGAATACACGACTAGGAGTGGCTATGGGACGAAAGCTAAGGAGACGGCCAGCCTAGAAGAACGAGCCTTTAATTGGCAAACAAAATTGTGGAATATTAGAACCCAACCAAAGATTAAAACGTTTCTTTGGAAAGCGGCGGTCAATGCTTTGCCGGTGGGTGAGCAATTGCATAGAAGAGGAATGGGAGATACAAACCTGTGTATCCGATGTGGAGCTTCGGAAACAGTGGAACACGTACTCTTCCACTGCCCATGGGCACAAGAAGTTTGGGCTTTGGCGCCTTTACCATCTACAAATTGGAGTTCTATACTCACAACTTTGGATTACTTAAATGCGACGGCGAATTCTCCAGACTCTCCCACCAGTGGGTATGGTTAATGCGTCACTCCATTCTTGGATTTGCTGGAATCTTTGGTGTGCCCGTAATCAACTAATTTTTGAGCAAAAAACCTTCTCCACATGGGAGGGTATGAATAAAGCGATTCGAGAAGCTGAAGAGTGGCAAGGGGCACAACATTGCCTACGCAAAGGACTGGTACGAACATCACAAGAACCAGCTCCTATAATCCCGAGAGGCACCCTTTGTCATACGGATGCAGCATGGAAGCGGGAAGCAGAACAATGCGGTTTAGGCTGGCACTTTGATGGCATCACGGGCGATGATGGAAAGGAGTTTTCCGTCTCTATGTCCAATGTTTCGTCAAGTTTAGCTGCGGAGGCGTGGGCCGTGATTAAGGCTCTTAAGAAGGCTCGAGAGAAAGGATTACAAGATCTCCATATTTTTTCCGACTCACAGGTTTTAATTAACCTTCTATCCACGAATGCGCGGCATGTGGAGATCCACAATCTTCTCTTCGAGATTAGGCTTTTAGCATCGCATTTCCGATCGCTATATTTTTTGTTTGTATCTCGAGAGGCCAATATGTTGGCTGACTCGTTAGCTAAGAGAGCACTCAATGCTCCTATATTGTCGACGTTTTCGACATAATAATAAAATTTCTTTTGACCAAAAAAAAAAAAAAACATTTCTATAAAACGATTTTCTATAGAAAGTTAAGTTAGGAACTGAGACTTTCAGGTAACAGAGTTGTGGAAACTATCTAATCAGCTCTTCATACAACGAAACAATTCACTTTCTAACAAATTTCTTCATCGCAGCAGATCAATGAATCTTTATCTCTGATATGAATATAATTCTCTATGTTAGACTCTAGCAGCAGGAATCCTCCATCATTCACTTTTCAAGCTTGCAGTAAAATCCTCCATCACTTACTTTTCGTATACTCCACTTTGAAAAACAAGAATTTTATGAGAAACAATGGGTTTGTGTGTTTATCAGACACTTGCTAAATCTCAGAGAAAGAAAGACTCTACTAGAATAATAGTGTCTATTTACGCTCTCATAATAGTGCCTATTTACGCTCTCTGTACAATCAATCAATATAAGACTATTTGACTCACACGTGACCAACTGTCATAGAAAGACTCTACTAGAAACTAGTGCCTATTTGGTTATATTACAAAAATTCCAATGCCAATATAATATAACATGTTTCTTCATGAATTAAGGCCTAAACTTAAAAAGGCAACCAAGATAAAGTATGTAGATAGTTAGGTAAAGATAAAAAAACATATTTAATGCTGCTGGCTCTTGAGATGGTGCTTGCGAGAGGCGTAGCTTGTTTCATCAACATAACAACTGAATAAGGTTTCTTGAGCCATCGGGATGAGATAATGCTTTTTCGTTTCCGATTCTCCTCCACGGTTCCGATTCTGCCATGGAAATCGATTAGGCAAACTTAGATCGGTTAGATTGATGTCTCTGTTCTTTTTGTCAATTTCCATTTTAAAATCCAATGTTCTTGATAAAGCTTTTTCATATGAATCTACACCAGTACTGCAAATGCTTAGTTAAGTAATACATATTATACTGTTAAATTTTACGAATCGCAATAGAAATTCAACTTTGATAACGGCTTATAAAAAAAAGTTTAAGAAATTTGAGTGAAAAAAAGAAGTGGATGCAAAGAGAAGAAGAGGGTTTACTATGTTTGTGATTTAGGTTAAACATTCAAAAGTTTATTAGAAAGAATTAACTTAACTAATTATATTTGACAGAATAAGAATAAAAATAAATATAATCAAATGTGACTAGTGAATCTAATTTTAGAAAATAGATATAGAGTATATAATTAGTTAATTATAGTTAATTAAATACAAAAACACATTAAAATTTATCAGTTCGTTTGGAAATCAACTCAACTATGGTTTGTTTGGACTGGAGACATTTTCCTTAGAGGGAAAACAAGAGAATGTGGAGACATTTGCTTCCAAACATACAACAAAATCAAACAGAGAAAGAAGATATAGCAAAATCAGAGAACGAAATATCTAATAGCAGGCAGAAACATGAAGATGAATAAAAAAAGGGATCATGAGCCTTTAGTTAACTAATTGGAATAAAAAGTTTTGTTGAGGGGTAAGAAAGAGATTATTAACCTATAGAGAAAATGAGAAAGTGTCTTTGGAAGGATAAATTGTCTTTAATGTTATCCAAACATAAAAAAGTCTCTGTAGTTGTAATTATTCTTTTAAAGAAACGAAAATCAGAATTTTACAATATGCATAATTTCTACTACCTTGGCGAAAGAGAAATAAAAAATAAAGTATTACAAATTTCGGTTTTGGGAAACCATTTGAGTCATCTAAATCACAAAAACATTAAATCTTCTTTGATGTCTTCTTGTTAATATGATGTTGCGCACCTTTCGATCAATGGTCTTGAACACGGTTGAAGCAAGTAAAGAGGTTTGGTTATTCACAACATTGTTTCTCTGTTTTCAAAGTGGTGATTATCTACGATAGAAGTTCAGACCAATTTCTGAAAATGTTAAGAAATGGATCAAGTCTTGTGAGAGCCAAACTCCATATCTCGATACTGTAAAGACATGTG